CACTGCACTGCCTCTGGAAATGACAGAGTGTAAAATGTCATGGATTATGGCCACCAAATCCTTYGCCTTCATGGAACTTTCTTCATCTCTGTCACCTTTCTATAACAGAAATGTGACATCTAAAATTAAAACAGGTATTTATATGTATGCTGAAACTCATATTTGTATGCACATACAGTGCAACTAATCAGAATGCAGATTTCTGCAAACTCAGGAAGGAAAATAAATAAATTATTAAATCAGACATTTCTTTGATGTAGCATAGTTTATGAGTGGCCAGAAGGACAGTGGAAACTCTTCCTGAAACCAGGTGGATTCAGTCAACAAGCACTATTATATTTGCTCAAAGTTCCAAACTTTTTTTTTACTACTTTTAAGCTAAAAATTTGGTGCAACAATTATCTCACCGTAGTCATTGTGTTTTCTATTCCATTGYAACTTCTATCTCCTCACTGGCCAATGTCTTGCCATTCATGTTTGTGCACCTCTCCTACCTGTACAGTTCCTTGGCTCACTGAGTCTTSTTTTGGATAGGGCTACATCACTGTATGTGTCTACATCCTTTTAGTATTCCAGCTACTTGGTTCCCAAAGAAGGAGTTAAATTATTTCCTAAGTTATCAGACATTATTGAAATTTAGTGCAATGCATGTTCATATTGATATGTTATTTTGAATTATATATGTTGAAATGCATTTTGATTGTAACTTGATTTGATTACATTTTGCAGTTAATTTTWAAAGGCATGTTAACAAAAAGATATKAAGAGCAATATTTGCATAAATAAAAAAATGGACTAAGAATTGCCCCATACCAACAGATTAACAATCTTACGAAAATCTGATCTATTTCTACCTAAGTTTCTTATAGAAAACATCTACAAAAGTAATGTGCTTTCATCAAAGAAGATTTGATTTCTTGAAGACAAGGMAGGTTTTAGCCTTGCTTCCAAGAGCATGAGGTTACATGGGTTGGGTATGTGCGTACATATATCTGTGTCTGTTCCCTCCTTGCCCTCCCTGTAACTTGACCCTGCTGSCTGCTTTCAGACACGTTTGGGAAAGGGTCAATGGTATTAGGTTTCTSTGAGTTTCATGATAATAGCTAKCTGRGTAGGAATAGAGAGACCCCTTAAGCRCCCTAAAAAGAAGGGGCAGAGCTGTTACATGCTGGTCTATCCACGAAATGGAGATTCCTTATAAATTCTGATCTGTGATTGCAATAARTGCTATCCAGTTCGTGCTCATGATTTAGCGTTTACCCCATGAATTGCACAAAAATATAGGGAATCAGTTTCAWCTTAGTTCTTGTACTTAATGCAAGTGTTTCATTCCATAGTCAAAACTCCATTGTGTTCCATCTGATGGAGAATTTGGCATTCATCATGTCACACAGGGAAGATGTCCTGACAGGAACAGAAAATCTTCCAAGAAGTACCCAGAATTGTCATGTGTCAGGATCCTTCAATAAACATAAAAGATAAATAGCCAAAAGCCATGTAGCATTTGTTAGGAAGTTTAAATATTAAACTGGGTTTGATGAAGCTTGGTTTAGGGAGAAAGAATTTCCTGCCATTTTATATATGTAGCTTGTTTAGTTGGATACATTTAGTTATATCTTTTGAGTGTGAAGAATGATAAAGCAAGGTTTATATTATTTCATTAAAATTGAAAAATCCGTCAAAGTACTTTGAAAATAGTTCATTGTTTTAGCTCTGTAATAGGCACAAGTTAAAGTAAAATATTGTAAATTAGAGATTGTTTTCTGTGTAACAATATTTTGAGTTAAAAACAAAATTATGAGCTTAAAGGAGGGGGAAGAAGTTATTTTAATGTTTTGAGRTGCATTTATTCTTTCCATTTGGAACAGTCCAGACTTTTGAACTTCAGGAAGTTTGAAACTTGCTTTCTAAGAAGCATACTGGAGTCTTCTGTGTTGTTTCTGATAGCTAAGAGATAAGATTTGCTGGGCCAAATTCTCTACCTGGAGATGTAGTCTGCTGGAATTTAGCAAGCAGTATCCTTGACAAGGCAGTAGAAGGAGGAAGGAATTGATATCCCTCACGTTTGTATTTTTGAGCAGATTAAGTTTCTGTAAGTGAAGTAAAAACTGTCAAATAGATGTAAATGTTAACACCAGCTCAGACTACATACACCAAATTGTTTTAATCAGTAATACCCCATGTCAGACGTGTTGCTGTACAGCACTACAAATCTAAACAGCAATTGAGGACCTCAATTCCTGGACAGATGGAAATTCACATTTAAGCAGCAGTAAAATCTGTTGAGATTTCTATTTCTCTAACAGAGCTGTGTTGGAAATAAGACAGATGAGATACTATCTTAAAACATAGATGAGTTTATACTTTGAACTGCAGTAACTCTGGTTTTGTTACCAAAGATGGCTTGTGTCCAGGAGGAGCTACCCCTAAAAAAGGAAGAAAGAGACCTATCAGATATGGGAAAGAATGTTTTTACTGGAAAAAAAAACAAAAACAAAAACAAACAAAACAAAACAAAACAAAACAAAA